TTTGTCTCTGTTAGCACTTTCTCATGCAAGCTTAATATGTTTCATTTCATGAGTAATTGACTCAAGAGTATGATTGTGACTTGCTATAGTCCTTCTTGTAACCTGGGCAGAAGCCTGCAAAGGGCTAATATCCTAATGGATTCACCGCTATTGAAAGTCAGGTTTTCAGTGTTACAGTTCCAAACAGCAGTCTTTTTTTTTTTTTTTTTAACACCTCAAAAGAATACTATGAATCAAACAAAATGATTTATAAACCAGAAAATTAATTTCCATGAAAGTTCAAACCAACTTCTTGGACTGAAGAGTCATTTTCGTAGACTGCACATCCTGTCTCATTAGGCAAATCTACATGGGAAGGCACTTGGTAATCGGAGGGTCACTTTGTGACTATGTCATCAAAGCAGAATGATATTTATGATTTAATGGCATCAAGCAAAAATAGCTAATGTTTATTGAATGCTTACTATGTATTAGGCACCTCTTACAGGCTCATGATTCACCTCTGTGGTCTTTATGTATTAGGCAATGTTCTAAACAATTTTATTTATTAACTTATTTTACTATCCATGAGGTTAGCATTGTTATCATCACCCCCATCTTATCGATAAGAAAACAAGCCCAAAGGGGTTAAGTAACTTGTCTAAAGTCACTGGTAAGTGGTGGAACTGGGATTTGAACATATACTTGACCTCCATTTTTACCCAATACACTCCCTCTGTTCGTTGGGGATGCATCTGATATACTTTCATGCACTGATCAATAGGCCACTCCTGCAAGGTGAGTAACAGGAACTCTGAAAATGTTGCCTCTCATACTCATTTTCTGGATTTCCAAGCTGGTGATCCCACAGTGTTAACACATGCTTTCTTAGAAAATGTTAACATCATTGATTAGTCATTGCCAAGATCTGATCTTGTTGCTTTCAACTTGAGCCATATCTCTTAAGGTGACTTTTCATGTATCAGATCTTACTTACCTTGTGCTGACTTTATTAGTCTGCCTCCTGGAATCTTGGGAATGCCCCTCTAACAGTACGTCCCACATTGTATTATCTACAATTACACTCAAAAGTGTACAGAAAACATGCACACAGTGAAACACATTGATCAAAAGTTAAAAGGGAAGAGACAGCATAGAAAAAATTGATGAACAAAATCATAACAGTCCTCATAGTCCTGAACTCCTTGCGAATATGATCTGTCGATGCAGTTTTTTTCTTATTTAACTTTTTCTGAGCTCCATGCTCAGCAGCACACACCCAGTAAGAAGCAGTTATTAAAATCTGAGAACTATCAAAGAGGTGGAGAAAGAAATGGGGGTACAAGCCGTACATAAGCCAAAGAGACAGCTTGCAATTATTCCTTCACTTCTCTGAGAAAAAAACAGCAAACATCAATGGAACAGGTACTTGCAATGACAGAATTCTGTCAATACCAGTTGGTGGAGTGTGTTCTATTTGCTCTTCGATGCACTTTTTGATAACCAGAGTCTGTAGCTGTGTCTACACAATGGCAAGCAAACAGCTCATTCTAAACAGCCAGGGGCTTCCAAACATCTCAATGTTTATTATAATGCATGAAGAAAAAGAATTTTCAATGTCTTTTTCATATTTTATCAGAAGGTTTTGACATTGCAAAGGTAATATCTGAATCTATATTGTGTGACTCAATGGCTTACATACATTAAATATTCCATCTGAAGCCGCCATAGCAAGCTGAACTTTGTTTATTCTTGGAATTATTTTGCAATTAGTGTGGTACTTAACTGCAGCTAGATGTTTTACGTACAGATGGGTGCAAATGTAATTGCGGTTTTTTGCCATTAAAAAGTAATGGCAATAGTTAGACATAAAAGATAAAACACAGTTATTTTAAACACAATTAAACCATCTAAATATTCCTATTGGAAGGAGAAATGACTATATTACAAATCAGAAGTAATATCATGCTTCAGAAAGAATTTATGATTAAATACATGTTAATACATAGAACAACTGAACAGTACAAAAAGGAAATAACTGGAGCACAGCAATGATACTCAGCCAGTATATTCTCACTGGTTGCTATTAAGTCCTGATTTGTTGGCTCTGTTCTGATTAGTAAGTGTCTGCTTCTGGTTGGTTGATTCCTGTCAATTGTTAAATATTTGGATTGATTTCTGATTTCTGAAGCAAACTGTGAACTATTTTGAATAACACCTCTACTTGAAGGTACACTGTAATACCATAGAGACAACAAACTCCAAATCCACAAAGTGTTGTTATAAAGCAACACTTTCCCTAGCAATAAAAAGGCACACTTGGATATATTTATATTCTAAAATAGGTATCAAAGAAGAGATACCACAATAAAAGTCACACAGTGGAAAAATAAGTTGTAAACTTACAATCAGGTGCTTATGTATAACGATAAACACACAGATTTACTATGTGCCAGCCACTGTTTTAAGCATTTTACATATCTTGATTTATTTACTCTTCACAGCAACTCCATAAGTTTTATTATTATCACCTTTATACAGATAAGAAAATTGAGGCATAGAGTGATTGAACAACTTGCATGAATTTGCTAACTAATAAGTGGCAGAGACTAAGTTCAAACCCAGGAGTTTGGCTCCAGAGCTATGCTTTCAACACCCATTCTCTTCTGTCTCTATTACCGAGATATATAGAATTCAGAGAAATGTACAAGTTAATAAGTGTTCAAAAGAGATGAATGGAGTGTTAATCATTAAGAAATAAATTCAGTAAATAAGTACATTAAAATCCCAATCTTTGTTGAAATTAGAGAATTAAGAATTCACAGTCATTCAATAAATTTCTCAAATCAGCAAAAATGAATAAATATGAAGAACCTGAATTTTATTGGGGGTACAGGAAGGCAAACTCATGTTCAGTGACTGTTGCCATAACAAATGGACTGACACTTTCTGGAGAACCATTTGGAAGTAGGTTATGAGAGCTTCTGAACAAGAATTTATTTCTCTTTCATGCAGAAATTCCAGTTTAGGAAAAAATGTCTCAAAGAGAATAACCCAAGGATGAGATAGATAAGTGCTATCTTACCAATATGTTTGTTTCATTGGTGTATAAAATGGTGGAAATTTTCTAATACCTTAGATGCACTACAAAAGGGAAAGAGCTAGACAAGCTGTGGCAAGTTAAGAACACAGAATGTCATTCTTATTAAAATAGTGAAATAAAAAATCTATGAGCTTTATTTATACGTAGAAATGTATAAGTGAAAAAATAAATCTGAAAATGAAATACACACACTGATGGCAAATATGGAAAAACACATATGCGTAATTTGTTTAATGCCTGGAAAAAAAAATGGATGGATGTAAGAATTGAGTCTTTATTAGTACATGTTTGCCTCTTTATTAATCTTGTGCTACTTAAATTCTCATTGGCTTGCTCTCTTGTGTGTGACAAAACCAGTAAATGAAATAAGGAAACACATTTCTAAAGTGAATCAGTTTTATCTAAACTAAATTACTCTCTATATCTCTGATACAATCCTATATGGAGCTGCCTGGGAACCCCATCTGATAGCAAACACCAGGATAGGGCACATGGGGAAGAAAAAAGGAGAAGTCAATGCATGTAAGGTCAAGAAAAATAGTCTGAGCATTCATCATACTTGGCTGAAACATACATGCAAGAACAACCCCACCCATAACTAGTCACAAACGGTCTGCCAAATGAAAGACTAAAATAGCAGCATATGCTGGGAATCTTGCTGTTTTTATGATATGCACAGAGACATTTTCTTTCATACATCTCTTTCTTTAACACTGCTGAGATCCAGCCTGCCATTTGCTGTGATTTCTTTCAGACTTTTTCTGGGCAAATTTTCGACTTTCTTCTCACCCTGCATAGTGATCTTCAGCATCCAGGCTGAATGTGTCTGTTTGATATTTCAAAAATATATGTGGTTCACCAGAGCCTCTGTTTCCATTTAGTTTCCTCCAAACTCTGCATCACCACCGCCATTTACCATTTACTGGATATTCTACATATAGTCACATTTGCTTCAGTTACTGTCATTATGAATATTAAAAATAGAGTTTTGAAAGAAAACACATATACCCCTCTGTGCTGTGCATTTCTCCAAAAAGCACAACACTGCATAATTTCTCAGATGCAAACTCCATTTTCATCTTGCCAGCAATTTGGCAGTTCTCAAAAGGTTACTGCTCTGAATTTGTTTTCTTTGTAGTCTTGCAGGCCATTTGTTCTGCCTTAATGCTGAAAATCTATGTAGGATCTTGACCTCCATATGCCATACACCAGTAGATTTACCCTTTTCTTTAAAAATTTCTTCCACATTAACATAAGAAGAAGAATATATTTCATGATTTGTTAAAATGGCATATGGGCTAAATGTTTAAGGTTAAAATCAAGGAGATCTCAAACCTTAGGTGGAACCTAATCACCTGCTGTGCCTCTAAGGGCTAATTTTTTGAGAGTTAAGAGTATCTTTCCGAATTTCTAAGACACGTTTAAAAAATTTGTATCCCTGAAAAGAAAGGTTCAGTCAATCTACCAGGCCAGTTAGTTACCTTGCCCTGAAGGTAATTTCACCTCAATTTTAATGACCACATAAAAAGGAATGATTATACAGCCATAAACCAAAATCAAAAAAGTGAAAGCTGGTCCTACATAAAAAATAATGGGGAGATAAGCACTTAAGTGAAAAGTAAACTTGCTCTATGTCTGACCATTTCCTATGTGTTTCCTATGCATCTGACCATTTTCTACACATGTATGTGCTGAGTTTTCTCATGTGTTTATCTTGGTGCCAGGTAGTATGGGGCCAACAGAATTATTAAGTTCCCCAACCTCAAGAGATTTCTTTCTAATTAGAAGAGACAGGACTAACGTTCTCAAAATAATTAGAAAAACCAGTAAATGCTAAACCACATGGCTCATAGGTATTTAGGGAACGGAGAGAGCTGCTGAGCTGGAGAAGTAGGGATGTTTCATAGAGGAAGCAGAGTGAGAGGTGGGCAGGGGAGAATAGGAAAGACAGAGATGAGCAAAGAGGAGATGAGAGGAAGATGGGCTGGAGTGCACAGCGATGGTGTTACAGGAAAGGGGTGGACAGGGTTCTTGGACCTTGTGCAAAGAAGAATTCAGGGCAAGTCCATAGAGTAAAGTGAAAGCAAATTTATTAAGAAAGTAGAAGAATAAAAGAATGGCTACTCCACAGACAGAGCAGCCTCAAGGGTTGCTGGTTGCCCATTTTTATGGTTATTTCTTGATTCTTTTCTAAACAGGGGGTGGATTATGTATGCCTCCCCTTTTTAGACCATATAGGGAAGCTTCCTGATGTTGCTATGGCATTTGTAAACTGTCATGGTGCTGGTGGGAGTGTAGCAGTGAGCATGACCAGAGGTCACTCTCATCGCCATCTTGGTTTTGGTGGGTTTTAGCCGGCCTCTTTACTGCAACCTGTTTTATCAGCAAGGTCTATATGACCTGTATCTTGTGCCGACCTCCTATCTCATCCTGTAACTTAGAATGCGTCAACTGTCTGAGACTGCAGCCCAGTAGGTGTCAGCTTCATTTCACCCAGCTCCTATTCAAGATGGAGTTGCTCTGGTTCACATACCTCTTGACAATGGAGTACCAGGTAGAGGGGCAGCAGGGGCACAAGCCCAAGGGAAGAAAGAAGAAGGTAAATATTGAGGTGGGCCTCGCTGGATAGGAGATCCAGGTAGGGAATGTGACTGCATAAGGATGGAGGGCTGGACTCAGTGTGGTAGGTACTGCGTTGGAGCTTTTGAGGGAAAAAGTTACTCTAGGAAGAATAGTCTGGTAGTGGCTGGGGGATGGTGAGTACAGAGATTAATGCTAGAAAGCTCAGAAAGGTATGAGTTCAAAGAATGCTATTTTTTTTTTGGCAAAAAAGAACAAAGGGGAAGTTTGAGAAATGCATCAAAGAGGGAAAGAGAAAACTTGATGAAATCTTCAGCTTATAGCAGTTATATCTTGGGAATAAGGTGAGGGAGTGGGTGGTATTGGGGATTTTACATTTGATCTTACATGCTGCATACACTTCAGGATAATTACACATATGTGTATGTGTACACATGTATGCATATGTTTATATGTGTATGTATATGTATATATATATAAACATATATGTGTACATATTACTTGTAAACAAAGGTCATACATTACCTTTTATAGTAAATTTAAAAAATGTAATCCTAAGATTTAGGGAGGACTTCAAAAATAATGACACCATTAACAAATGGGTTAACCGTAAGAAGCTGGCCTCCTTTCTCGTAGGTGTATCTGGCATCGGTGCCCATGTGCACACACACAAACACACACTCTCTCTCTCTCTCATCTAAGTCTGATGTGCATGTCCTTACGCATGTCCTTATTTCACCACCTTCTGCCTCTTGGATCCTTACGCTTTGCAGGCCTGGAGCTGTTTTGCCTCCTGCTCCCCTTTCCTGATGTCACTGCCACTCCATCTCTGATTTCTGTATGTCAGAAAGATCTGGCTTTTGCTGCTGCTACTTCTCAATTGTCAGGGTCTCCGTGAAGATATTCTGCTGAGTCTCTCTCAAGTTTCTTCAGTCTGAAGTCACCACCGTCCTTCACATCCTACCAGAGGCGTGTGGACTACTCTGCGATCAATCTTCCACACTTGTCCAATTCAGTGAACCTGACTTGCAGTCAAAAGTGATCCACTGCTGGTGGGTTGGCTCGATGCCAGGACTTTGTTGACTGCAGCCTGATGTGGATTAATGTTCAAGCAGCTCACATTCACTAACAAACAATCAGGCTTTCCAACTGATTACATAATTTATAGAGGCGATAGCCCTGCCCCTGTAATATACAACAGTGGCATCATACATACGCAGTAAAAGGCTACAAACAAATCAAGCCCCAGAACCTTTAGAGGCCGCCTACGTGCCAGCTGGTCAGGGGAGCTTGTGATACAAACAGTAAACAGTGAAGAGGCCAGGATTTCTTTATATGAACTCCAACATGCACACATCACCTTGCATTAAGAAAGCTTTAGGGATAATATATCACATTTTATGAGAATGGACATGGGGGTGGAGAAAAAAGTGGTTGGAAATGGTGATTTGGCCAATGATAATTATGGAAGTGCAACTGTTTTCTTAAAATGAAGTTAAAAATCATAATGCATGACCACAATAAATGCACATCAGACGACAAGGTGCAGCCTCTTGTGTATCACTTCTACAGATTTTGCTTTTGAAACTATTAGCCGTATGATCCCTCTTAGAGATTTTTTTTTCCTGAAAGTTTTGAGCTTTTTGAGAGGAATAATGTGCCTACCATATAACAGAACTTTATTTAATGCTTTCTTTCATCAATGCATCCAAAAATAATTAAAATTTAAAAATCCCAAAAGCTTTAAAAATGAAAACATAGTTTCTATATGAATTTGTGGGACAAGTAAAATTTTAATTTTCCAAAAATGAAGCCTTTAAAATACAGCAAAATCCACCAATTTTGAATAACTAATGAATGAATGGGGTTTTTTTTTTCTCTTAATCTTAACAATTTTGGCACCTTTAGAAAGACAAATTTTTTTTAATGTGAGATGAAAATCTATAATATTTCTGAGATTTTAAAAATAAAATCAGAATATTTGACCAAATCCTTCTAGTACTTTTATAGTTTAGGAAATAATTTTGTCTCAAATAATTGAGATGCAAGGAAATTCTAGGCACTGTCCCAAAGCTCGATGCTAAAGAAGGCATAAATAAGTCCTGCCCTCTTAGACCTTATGTCCTACAGGAGGAGACAGAAATCAGAAGTAAACAAAGCAGTTGATAATGATAGAATATGATCCTTGATATGAAGGCAGTAAAGGGAGCGTTGTTGAGAAAACTCAGAAATAGGAGTGGTCAGCAAGGGCCTCTCAGAAGTGGTGATATTGGGACTGTGATTTAAAGCATGCAAATGAGCCAGCAATGTCCAGATGAAAGGAAGTACATTCCAGGTGGAGGGAACAGCCAACTGCCTGGTGCTGAAGGTAGTGGAGTAAGGGCAAGAAGGGAGGCCCTGACCAGCTTTTGTGGGATCTTTTGGACTACCATAAGAAATGTTCATTTTATTCTAAGTGCCAAAGAAAGTCATAGGGAGGTTTTGAGTAGGAGGGTGATCTGATCTGATCTACGTGATCCCATTTTCATTTTTAAGAGATCACTCTGGCTCCTTGAGGGAATTGGATTAGAGGGGACAAAAGCTGGAACAGAGAGGCCCCAGGAGGTTACCGGGGTAGACTGAGGGAGAGGATGGTAATGGAGTGGGAGACAGGGAGAAGGAGAGAAGTAGATGTGCTTGAGCACGTTTGCAGATAAAATTAACAGGACTTGGACATGGACTGACAAGCAGAAGAGAGGAATCAAGGCTGTCTCCTAGGTTTTCAGCTTCAGCAATGGGTAGTGGTGCTACGTACAGGGGCGGGAAGTCTGACAGAGGAACAGGCTTGTCGGGGAGGAGAAGGAGGATAGGAGCTCTGTTTTGAATCTAGCCTGAGTTTCTTATTTAACATCCAAGTGAAGATGTTAAACAGCCAGTTGGATGTGGAGTTCAGAGTAGTCTACGTTTGAAATATAAATGTGGAGACCACCATTTTATTTTATGCAGATAAAATGCCAAAGGTCAAAAAGGACAGTGGGTACATAGATAAGAAATCTAAAACAATCCAAAAAAGAAAAGGTTGGTAGAGAAAGCTCCAGAAAAGGCATAACTTGGAAGTTAGAAAACCATGCCTGCACAGTGTTCTGGACACAAGAGGGAAGAGTGATCATCTATACGAAATACTGCTGAGAATGCAAGTAAGATGAAATGAGAGAAACAGTCATTGAGTTTGGTAACCTGGAAAAGAACAATTTCAGTGAAGATTGAAGAATGAATGAGCAATGAGCTATAGATGCAGTATGTGTAGCAACTTATTGGAGGATTTTGGGTCCAAGGAGAAACAGGGAAATAAGAAGTAGCAGGAAGGGGAATGATGAGGTCACAGAGGCTGCATTTGTTTTTTGCAAAGACTGCACATATTTGATACAGAATTGGCTAAATAAATTATGGTACATCTCCACAATGCAACTACACAGCTGTAGAATAGAAGGAAGAAGCCAGGTATGAACTAAGATGAAATCAGCTCCAACATGTCCTGTTAACTGAAAAAGACAAGTGCAGAACAATATGTGCAGGTGAAAGCTTTGCTTTTAAAGGGGTAAAAGGAATATTCATATTTGTATGTAAGTACACAGATGCATGAAGTATTTCAAGAAGGATGAACCAGAAGGTGGAAATGCTGGCTGTCTAGAGGGAAGAGAACGAGGTAATTTGAATACTTTGGGAAAGGGGGACTCGACTTAGTAAATCTTTTTGTGCCTTTCAAATTTGAAGGACACAAATGCCTTCCCTTTCCAATACATAAATATATAATAGATAGCCTCTGCTGAAAGCACACTTCAGTGATTGAGAAGAGAAAGAGACATAGTTTCATGGTGTGGGAAACGGAGATGACAATGAAGGAGTAAAGTCTGGTAGAAGGGGGAGGAGATACATACCAGGGCCCTGGTGGAAGTGGCCTGCCAGGCTTCCTCCCACCAGAAAGAAGCAAGGACACTTTCCTGCACAACTGAAGAGCATGTAGGTTTGGATATTTGATAGTGGGAGGATGAGTGTGTTCTGTTTACTTGGTATTCATTCTCCGAATGAAAGAAGGGGCATTAGCTAAGAGTTCAGGGGAATAGAAGAGTTGGGAAAAGTTTAATGGTCTCAAAAGACAGGCTAACCTCCCTTGGGAAACAAAATATATGATATCTGGGTGGAAGTGGGGTGGTCACAAATTCAAAAAGAAAGTAGTTAGGCTAGTTACTTAGTATTTTTCCAGGCACACTGAGCCAGCTAGGTATATATCCAAGGAAGTGACATGACTGGGATTGTGAACCCAAAATATATGCGTTCTCAATCAATTTAGCAAGTTTATTTTGCCAAGGTTAAGGATGCACCTGTGACACTGCCTCAGGAGGTCCTGACATGTGCCCAAGATGGGGGGTACACCTTGCTTTATGCCTTTTAGGGAGACATAAGACATTAATTAATATGTGCAAGATGTACATTGGTTCAGGCAAGAAATGTGGAACACCTTGAAGCAGGGTGGCTTCAGGTCGTACGTAGATAAGAGAC